GACGTAAAGATTACAAACAACAAAAACTCAAAAGAAATCCTTTAAGTTAGAACAACAACGTTTGTTAATTGACAACAACAATGAAACACATCACAGCTAAAGACATGAACCTGAAACGACTGTAACTTTTAAAACGACAACGCGTTGAAACTGACGACTTGTATAAAACGACATAAACACTAGTACACCAGGCCACATGCCCAAAGCTTTTATAAAGACGGAGAAAACCTGGTTAAAAAATAATAATAATAAAATAAAATATAAGGACCTCTCTTACCGGTCTAAGATGCATGTGTTTGGATTCCGAAATCACTATGAATATTGTAGCTTTTCTTTATCGTTTGTATATTACTGGCAACAAAAGAAAAAGGGAAAAAAATAATAATAAAAATTAATGAGTTCTCCAAATTTTTATGTTGTGTGTGCGTTTATTGTCTTTTTCCATGATCCCGTGATTCACGTCGTCTTCTTAATGTCGTCTCCAAGGTTGTTGTTGTTACTTGTGATTTTCAAGATATCACGTCGTTTCTGATTTCACGCGGTTTTTATATGATCTCAGATCTCTGATTTCTATGATTGAGGCCGTTTCTTTAAATATGTCTAATTTTTGTTGGCGTTTTTCCGGTCACCGTCGTCTCTTAGTTTTTGTCGTTTTTAATACTCCTTCCGTCCTTCGTTTCCAAACTTCCATGTCGTCTTTGATTTCTTTCCAGATGTCCATTTGTCGTTTTAAATTTTTGTTGTTCTCGTGACTGTTGTCGTTTTACACACCGTTTCACTTTTCATTGCTTTTATATCTTTTCCCTGGATTGCCGATTTCAAATTCTCCGTCCGGTGTTGTCTTCCATGTCGTTTTACACATCGTTTATATCGTCTTCAAAAGACGTCGTTTTTAGGTTTTTGTTGTTCAAATTTTAATGTCGTTTATTTCTTTTATGCCGTCTGTCGTTGCTATTGTTACCTTTTCTTTCTCAAACTTCATTTTTTTTAATTTTTTTTAAATTTACAGTTTCATTTTCTTATGTCGTTTTTCACGTTGCAATTCCATAAAAGAGCATCAACATCAATGGCGTCCTCTTCCGTTAGTCTTTCACCTCCTGCAGCTGGCGGCAGTTTGGTTGAAGAAAATAAAAAGGAGAAAAGCAAACTGTTATCTTCTCTCATAATTCTCAACTATCAACTGATGTAGGACGTTTTAGCTATAATGGACATTATTTTTAGTTGTATTGTCGTTTGCCTTAATTTATGAACTTTACTTTAATTTTGTTATTTGTTTATCTTCATTTATCTAGTATATCATTTGCCTTAGTCAATATTTTATTATTGTCAGACTTAAATTTTTGAGATATTTAGGGCTTGTACTTTTAGAGTTTAATTTGAGTATAATTATTGAGTTGAATTTGAGTTATAACTTGAGTTGAACTTGTAACTTGAGTTTGTGTTTAGTTGTGTACATTTGAGTTATGGTTTGAGATAAGAATCTTTTTGAGTTTGTGTTTGAGTGAGTCAAAACTTAAATTTGTATTTAGATAGTATTTTAATAAAAACTCAATACTGATGAAAAATTTTAATATGGTACATGGGTCAGGTTTTATTCGTTTTTTCGTTGTCAACGCATAGAAAAAAAATCATCTCAATCAGAATTAAAACGAAAAAGTTATAGCATTTTTAAGAATAGAAAAAATATTGTTCATTAATTTGAGTTCGAGTTTCTGAACTCGAATTGAATGGAAAACTTAAACTCGAGTTTTAGTCCTAAACTCGAGTTTGAACTCGAATTTAAACTTAAAAGAACATGAACTCGAATAAAATTGTAACTCGAGTTGCTTTTTTTTGAATTTTTCACTCAATACAACAAGCCCTAAATTTGAAGTTGTGTTTTCTCTATAACTTAGCCTTGTGTCTAACTTCATACTTTAGATTGTAAACAACAACTTATTTTCTGGATGGTTTTTTGTTGGGTTTTATTGTTTCCTAATGTCGGCTTATATATTAATTACAATTATATTATTATGGGTTATCTAATTTAATAGGCCCAAATAAGTGATCTATTAATTTGGGCTCTAGAGATATCTACTGGGTATAGGCTTTGTGATGTGTACAAACCTAATACTAAATTAGAGAAATAGTAGAAAATAGGCCAATATAAAAAATTTAAGAAAATATATAAGTTAATTTTTAGTTATAGAAATTAATAGGCCATAACTTGTTAAGTTATGGTTCATAACCAGATAAGTTATGGACAAACTTGTCAAGTTATGGTTCATAGCCAGACAAGTTATGGACAATTATGGACAATAACTTATCAAGTTATGGTTCATGACCAGATAAGTTATGGACAAACTTGTCAAGTTATGGTTCATAGCCAGACAAGTTATGGACAATTATGGACAATAACTTATCAAGTTATGGTTCATGACCAGATAAGTTATGGACAAACTTGTCAAGTTATGGTTCATAGCCAGACAAGTTATGGACAATTATGGACAATAACTTATCAAGTTATGGTTCATGACCAGATAAGTTATGGACAAACTTGTCAAGTTATGGTTCATAGCCAGACAAGTTATGGACAATTATGGACAATAACTTATCAAGTTATGGTTCATGACCAGATAAGTTATGGACAAACTTGTCAAGTTATGGTTCATAGCCAGACAAGTTATGGACAATTATGGACAATAACTTATCAAGTTATGGTTCATGACCAGATAAGTTATGGACAAACTTGTCAAGTTATGGTTCATAGCCAGACAAGTTATGGACAATTATGGACAATAACTTATCAAGTTATGGTTCATGACCAGATAAGTTATGGACAAAAATAGTAATTTGACCTATTTATTAACTTATGTAAACTATTGACCTATTAATTTTAATTCATCTCAAGTCTTAACATATTTTTCTCTTTCTCCCTACTAATTAAATTAGGGATAATGGAACTCTAATTTGACTTTGTATATATAAGGACGCATTTTAAGGTTTGTGGTCCCAAGTCAAATCATACGTACAATTTGTTCTCCTCTCCTCCTCTTTCCTCATTCAAAAGAGAGAATCTTTAGCACTAAATGATCTACCCTTTTCAATTTTATCATTATGAATTTAAGTACGCTTCTGATCAATTTTTATTGATAATTTGACCAGACATTGGTGATAGTTTTTTATCAATTAAAGGTTTTCTAACATTTCTTTTAACTTGTCTTTTGGTAGGCGATGGGCCGATGTGGTCTGTTTTTAGCCCTAGTTGGTATTAATGGTGTAGCCTAATAAGTTTAACATTATTTTACAATTTAGGATTCCGTGTTTTTCATTGTTATGTTATTGTTATCGTTACAAATAAGTGATCTATTAATTTGAGCTCTAGAGATATCTATTGGGTATAGGCTTTGTAATGTGTACAAACCCAATACTAATTAAATTAGGGATAATAGAACTCTAATTTGACTTAGTATATAAGGACACCTTTTAAGGTTTGTGGTCCCAAATCAAATCATAGGTACAATTTGTTCTCTTCCTCTTTTGTCATTCAAAAGAGAGAATCTTTAGTACTAAAGGATCTATCCCTTTCAATTTAATCACTGTAAATTTAAGTACGCTTCTGATCAATTTTTATTGATAATTTAACTAGACATTGGTGATAGTTTTTCATCAATTAAAGTTTTCCTAACATTTCTTTTAACTTTTAGTTGTATTGATGGTGTAGCCTAACTAAGTTTACATTATTTTTACAATTTAGGATTCTGTATTTTTCATTGTTATGTTATTATTATCGTTACAAATAAGTGATCTATTAATTTGGGCTCTCGAGATATCTATTGGGTATAGGTACAAAGCCAATACTAATTGAATTAGGGATAAAGGAACTCTAATTTGACTTAGTATATAAGGACACCTTTTAAGGTTTGTGGTCCCAAATCAAATCATACGTACAATTTGTTTTCTTCCTCTTTCCTCATTCAAAAGAGAGAATCTTTAACACTAAAGGATCTATCTCTTTCAATTTCATCACTATGAATTTAAATATGCTTCTGATCAATTTTTCTTGATAATTTAACCAGGCATTGGTGATAATTTTTCATCAATTAAAGTTTTCCTAACATTTCTTTTAACTTGTCTTTTGTTAGGCAAGGGGCCGATGTGGTCATGTTTTTAGCCCAAGTTGTATTAATGGTGTAGCCTAACTAAGTTTACATTATTTTTACAATTTTGGATTCCGTCTTTTTCATTGTTATGTTATTGTTATCATTTTCGTATGGCAGGGTTTCTCACTGGTAGTGTCTATTTTTGATAATTGAATATGGTCAAAATCATATCAAAAAAAAATATATAATAAGTAATTTTTTATATGAATCTAGGATTAAAAATAAAGAACTACTGGTTACTTATCTTTTTTAAGTCCTGTCGTATAAATTTCCTTTTCTAAATATCTGTCATTATTCAGGTTGACTATTTTATTGGATATGTCGTTACTTCTTATGCTTGATTGCTTGTTATCAATGGTTAATCATCTTTCCGTTGCTTTTAGCATTGTCTGTCGTTTTCAGGTTGACCCTGTTCTTTTGTCTAAAAAACTCAAAAAAAGACAACTCGAGTTTCAACTTTATTAAGTTCATGTTCTTTTAAGTTTCAACTTTATTCAACTTTACTCAACTTTATTCAAGTTACAACTTCAACTCAAGTTATAACTCAAATTCAACTCAAAAATTACACTTAAGTTACACTCCAAAAGAACAACCCATTTGTTTTCTGCTCTTCTTTGAGTTAGAACTTGATTTATGAACAATAGCAAATTATGTTAAGTTGTGGCCAATATGAGTGTGATCATTTTAAAAGGAAAAAAAAAACGATCTTCTTTTCTTGAAGTAACCAAAATATGGGATTTATAATATGCGCATAACATAAATAAACTTGAATTGAAAATAATGAGCATATAGAAACTCAGAAAGTGACCTTTTTTTTTTTTTTGGTGCATGGATTCAAAAGAGGGTTTGCTAATCTAATTAAAGTAACTCATAATACGCTCTTTTATTCATTTATTTAGTTCAAAATCTAAGATTACATCCACTTGGAAACATGTCACTTCAATAGGCAGCAAAAAACCTATTATTAGTAATTTAGTATGTCAAAATCCGTTTGACTTATTCATCAACCATTACCAATATTGAATACATACATACATATATATATATATATATATATGCTTAGACACTACCCTTTATGGCTGCGCTATAACCATTATCATAGTATTTGCTCCAAAGCATGACTCCTCCATACTTGGCAGACCCCTTAATCTTCGGAAGAACCTGAGAAGTGAGAACAGCAGCAGAAATAAATCCGCCGCTCGGGGCCGCTGCCTCCGACGCCGGCAGCCCCAAGAACACCTGCTTGGCCTGGCTTGAAGTCCACTGGTTCCACGCTTTCAAAAGATTGTCAGCATTGCCGGCATAATGGCACTGAGCGTTGTTGTAGAACTGAACCCAAACATAGTCAAAGAGGCCAGTCTTTATAGCCCCATCAAGATGGGCATCAGGATAAGGGCACTGCGGCGCAGCTGCCAAGTACACCTTCGACTGCTGGCTGCGTCCGCTGAGAGACTTGGCAAGTCGGTCAAGGTGCCTTCATTGCCATTTTGGCCCCAGTATATGGCAATCCCACCAGCTTCTGATGATTTGAATGTGAAAATGGCTAAGAAGAGAAGTAGTACTAGGACTGAAGAGGCTTGTTTTTGGCTTGCCATGGTGTTTATATATAACTCTTGTTGCTAGTTTTTCTTGAGAAGAGGACGAAGAGCCAGAATGCATATTTATTGGCACAAAGGGAAGAAAAGTATGGTAGACGCCGTGTGCAGCGGGTAATTGTAAGTTTTGTTTATTCCAAAAGAAATTGATAATTAAAACAAAAATTACCATTCTTATGACTAATGAGTTGCAATTTCTTTTTGAGAAACAAATCTCTATTACTCCGTCAATCACGCTAGAAATGTGTGGACTAGTTTACAACAATACATAAGATAAAGTTCTCTAGCGTGTGATCTTTTTAATATTAACTTTTTTTTTCCTTTTTGACCGAGTCTACTTTCAAGTTTTTCATGGGTAAATGAAATTTCGGAGAAAATAAAATTCACAGGCTGCGAATGCGAGGGGAGAAAATATATACACAAAAGATAATACACCAAATTGGATAGCGACCTAACTAGCTTTTTCTTTCTTTCTTTCTTTCTTTTTTTTCCCTTTTTTAATTCGAGAAATATTAACTTTTTTTGTTTTTTTTCTCTTTTTGACCGAGAGATAATACACCAAATTGGATAGCGACCTAACTAGCTTTTTCTTTCTTTTTTTTTTTTTTTTTTTTTTTTTTTTTACTATTTTTTCTTTTTTTTTCCTTTTTTAACTAGCTATAGATAAGACTAGGAGCATCGGTATCGACAAATCAAGCCAAACCCAAGTCCGGAAAATATACAAAAAAGGATGAATAAACCAGTCATGGTGTAGAAATAGTGAAACAATCTAGATTCTAATACGTGGAGATTAGACAGTGAGTTAGCATGGCATGGTTAATTGGATGTTTGTGAAAAATGCTTCAATGGCGTGTGATTTTCAAAGTACTGCCAGAAAATTCAAACCTCTATAACAGAATGTGCCAATTTTTCTTGGCTGCCTAGCTTATACTGGATTATTTTTTTCGTTTTTAGATGACTATGGAATTTGAATACGTGTTTTTGGCAAACATTTGAAACAGATGAAACAATCTTCTGAAGTCGTCAAAAGTTCAACTCTGTTTTCAGATTAGAAATTGCTATGGTCTCAAAATTCTTTTGACATCTGTAATTCAATGGCAACAAACCAGATAGTAATTTTCTTGGTGCTTGGATGATAATGAATGTGAAACTTAAAAAATAAAAATAAAAAATAAAAACTCATTAACATATCCATTGAACGGTGACCAAAAAGGCTTATTACCAATTATCTGCACAAGAGCAAATACCATTTTTGAAATGGTGGAAACGATAAGTATCTCTAACTACAATTTCACGTTCAGCTATTTTAGATATGAGCTTCACCGCGGTATGACAATCCCCGCAAACACGAAGATTCTTCGTAATTCTGATCGGTGCACCGGGTTCCGAATTCAGAAGGGCAAAGACAATAGCCAACTTCTCGCTGTGAACTGCTAAGTGGCATTCCTTGTCCTCCTCCTCCACGTCATGAAGAGCTGAATCGGTCTCAGGAACATAACCGAGCTCTTTCATTTTCCCAACCAGCACATCCAAGTCTTCATATATCTTCTTGGACTGAGGATGTGATCTATCACCGGCAAGAAAAGTGTGAACCCTATCATTGAGCTCAACATTGCTGACCCCAGGAGTTTTCTTGATGCCTCTACTTTTCATCATTGATCTTACAGTCGTCACGTCTTGCCATCTTTCCGCCTTTGCATAAATGTTTGACAACAAAACGTAATATCCTGCTTGCTCCGGAACCAGTTGAAAGAGTTTATCAGCAGCTATGAGTCCAATATCCATGTTGGAGTACACTCTGCATGCACTCAGCAGAGCCCCCCACACTCTTTCATTAGGCTCTATTGGCATTTCCTTGACAAAGCTATAAGCCTCTTCCACTCTCCCAGCCCGTCCCAAAAGATCAACCATGCACGAAAAGTGTTCTATTCTCGGAACTATCTTATATTCCCCAATCATCAATCTGAAGTAGTACTTTCCCTCCTCTAAAAGTCCCGCATGGCTGCAAGCCGAAATGACTGATACAAAGGCAACAGAGTCAGGACTCAGACCCGAGTCCTGCATTTTCTCAAACAGTTCAATGGCATCGCGACCTTGTCCACTCCTACCATATGCAGAAATCAGCGATGTCCATGATACAACATCCCGAAACTTCATATTGTCAAACACTCCCCTCGCATCTTGTAAGCATCCACATTTAGCATACATATCCATCAATGCATTCTCCAATAGCAAATTTGGCAAGAGTTTCTTTCTCTTGACATATTGATGAAGCCGCCTTCCTAGTAACAGAGCTGAAAGATCCCCACAAGCTGGAAGAATACTAGCAATTGTGACGGCATCAGGTTCTGTCTCACAAGTCTCCATATGAAGAAACAAATGAACAGCTTCACTAGGCATTGAATTATTCACATAAACAGCAATCATCACATTCCAGGACACCAAACTCTTGTTAACCAGATTTTCAAACATCTTTTTTATATACAAGACGTTTTCCGATGATGTATTAGTTACGGCTGGCAAGAGACTAGCCATTGTACCAGCATCAAGTTTCAGCCTCAGTGACTCCATTTCTCTACAGATTTCCAACACGTCATCAAACCGTGCATTTTGAGCATACCCGGCAACCATTGAATTCCAAGAAACCACATCTCTCCTCGGCATCTCATCGAGAACCCGCCGCCCCTCCACTAATCGATCACATTTCCCATACATGGAAACCAGTCCATTCCCAACAAACAAATTTAAGTCAAGCCCAACTTTCACAACAGCACCATGAATTTGCAACCCGACCCACAAATCATGGGACGCAGAGCACGCCTTTAAAACACAAGGGTACGTGTAATTATCAGGCAGGAATCCATGGCTGAACATCGTTTTGAAAACAAGAAAAGCATCTTCATACAAATGGTTGTTCATGTAGCTTCTGATCATGACATTGTAGAAAATAACGTTTCTGTCAGGACTTTCGTCGAATATGTGGCGGGGGATCCTGCTTTCCCCACAGGCCGCAAAAGCCCTCATGAGTTTTATGCTAAGCGATGGGTTAAAGTGAAGATGTCGATCCACAATGACTTTGGAGTGGAGTTTCTTGAGTGTTTTGATATCTGGGTATCCATCCAATATCTTACCAACTAATTCTTCTGAAAGAGCTGGGCTCTGACTAGTTATTTCGGGTCGTCGAATTGATGAAACCAGGGCTTCTACTTTGTCCCAAGGCTTGAAATGGCGAGAGTGACAAACAATGGGTCTCATCAATTGGTTTAATCTGAGATATGATCACATCTTTTAGCCATCAATACGAGGATGTGTCGACAGTTCTCAAACAAATAACTTGTGACTGCGCTTTTGAACGGACACTTACTCGCTAGCTAGTAATTCATGGCAATTCGTGTAGAGATACTACTGATTCATATTTTCCCAATCGTTCTCCTCTCTCACTTGACATGTCATATTTTTTTTACTTAAAAACTTGATTGTTCTTTTGTATTTTTGAGTTAGATAATTTGAGTGATGATCTTAAATTGAATTTGAGTTGAAGTTATAACTTTGAGTTTATGTTTAGATATGCATATTTGAGTTATGATTTGAATTGAGAATCTTTTTAAATTTGTGTTTAGGTGGATCAAAACTTAAATTTATATTTAGATGGTATTTTAATAAAAACTCAATGGTGATGAAAAATTTTAATAGGGTATAATTGAGAATATTTTATTCGTCTTTTCGTTGTGAATGCATACAAAAAAAAATCATCTCAATCAGAATTAAAACAAAAAAGTTATGACATTTTTAAAAATAAAAAAAATATTGTTCATTAACTTGAGTTCGAGTTTCTGAACTTGAGTTGAAAGGAAAACTTGAATTTGAGTTTAGCCCAAAACTCGAGTTCAAACTTAAATTTTACAAAAGAACATGAATTTAAATAAAGTTATAACTCGAGTTCAAATTTTTTTTAAATTTTATTGCAAAAGAACAATCCCTTAAGGCTCAAACTATAAGTAGAGAATGATCTAATTTTGGACACGTCTCTCTTTTTTTTTTTTTTTTTTTACTTAAAAATTTTAAAGCGTTTTACTAAGGTGTCAAAATACGAAAAATTTCTTATTACAATGTGAAACTCTTTAACCATATAAAATTTAATAAAATGTGATAACAATTTAAGGTCCGTTCACTTCGCTGATTTGAGTTTATAATTCGAGTTGAGATGTGATTTTATGTGAGAGTTTTTTACTGTAGCAAAAAAGTTAGATGTGATTGTTTGTAAGAGATTTTTACTGTAACAAAACTCGAATTCTAAACTTGAATTGATGAAGTGAACGGACCCTAATGTTTCATAATTATGCAATATAAATTCAGCATTTTTCTATAGAATCACATCAAATAGCCGCGCAGAAAGGCTTACTGCGTGTGTGTATTTTTTCATACCTTCATTTAAGAAAAAAAAAAAACGAACTACGTAACACAAGAGTTAGATACTATTTACACAGTGGGGAAAAGAATTGTGTATTAATTTTGATGAAGGAAAATGGACAAACAACACTAATAAGATCGCCTGCCAGCTATTTATTTAGCGTTTATTTTTTGCTCCAAGGAATTTTCTGCTGAGAAATTGTTCTCGATTCCAATTTCACCGGTCGTCTTGAAACAGTGCCTTGGAAACCGAGGCACAAACAGAGGCACGTGACTGACTGCTGTAGTCTTTATCACGTTGGTAATCTTCATCGTCATCGTAGCTGCGTCCGGAGTTGGAACGTTTCTTTTCTGTCATTGGGGTTTCACATACTCTGTCATTGATTTCCTCTGCACGGCTCTTCCTTTTTGACAGCTTTCGACGACGATCTGACTTCGGCTTCATGGCCTTTTGCTGCTTGGGGGCCCAAACTCTCTGTAAATCAGGTACCCAACTAGTAAAAGAAGCAAACTTCCGAGACCTCTCTCTCCTTTCTTGAGCTTCAAGTAACTTGCGAGCATGCTTTTCTTGAGTCATTCCATTATCATTTTCAAGCTCCTGAAAGGACTCGTCTTCTGCTGATATCGGTTCGCTACTTCTAATGTTTTCACCCATGTCAACTTTCTCTGGTTTTTCTCTCAAAGATTGAGTGCTGTCCTCGCTATTGAGTAAACGATTAGGGAGTTCATCCTCATCAGCAAAGAGCAGTAAATCCATTTTCGTATAGATTTTGTGGACTACATCTTTAAGGGTGTCACTGTACCTGAAATTTTTGGCATTTAAACATTCTTCAATCAGCTTTTCTCATTCCTTTGTAAACAATGGGAAACACTTGCTCATGTGATTAGAAACTTTCAAAATAAACCAGAATTTGTTTGGGGCTCCATGCCTGTCAAGAGTGCATTAACAGCATTACATGTTTCACAAATAACTACAACAAAGAAGCAACTCAAGTTATCTCAACCCCTAGCTAGTTTCGTATCCTTACTCTTCCATAATATGATATTTCTATACTTTATTTACGATGAGGACAATATTGTTACAAGGGAGAGATCCCAAGGAAAAAAGGACCAAAGATGACAAGTATTTGGTGCAGCTCACAACAAATATATAAAATAAAAACTAAAGCTAGTGTGTTTCAGGGTTCATAAGAAATGATTTTTTTTTTTTTAAATAAAGCACTCCATTATGAAAGAAATAGCTATCGTGTTTTGTAAGAGATAATTCAATAAGCTCTGATGCAGAAAGATTGTACCTGGCTTTTATGATCTTCCCCACATAATTATCTAGGCTCCAATCACCAAAAAAGCCTCCCTCAAGATGGCACTGAATGGTCTCCAGAAGCAAGCAAATTTGTTTTACAAACTTCTGTGTCATAGACTCTCCAATATTCTCTCCAACCTCTGATTGTAGTATTTCCATACGAAACAAAATCTGCAATTCATATCTTATGCATATATTAAGGAAAAGTGTAAAACCAGCTGAGCAAATTGTTGACGTAATTAACACCAAGTAGATTCAATTAGAAAAACCACCAACTAAACTAATGTATGGCTTATAGAAATAAAGATAGATAAACCAAGCCATAGCATGAAAAAAAAAGGAGGAAAATGGGAAGGATACTCTCTAACTATCTTTTCTGATGCAGATCCTTGAGACGCCTGAGAGGATGGATCATTACTTCTTCCCTTTGCAATCAAGTCCTTTGGGTCCCTTAGTAGAAGATTTAGCAGTTTAGCACCAAGAAGACTGGTCGTATCTTGAGATGTTGCGTCAGGTATTTGACTCTTGGAAGTGGTTTCTGTGTCACACTTTTTATTTAACCAATGTATGGATGAATTCACAAGCCGCTGTGCCAAAGCCCCCAAATCCACTGCTTCAGATTCAAGTCCCTGCTGAATCCTTTTGGATAAATTACCGAAGAAATTTTCAGAAGTTTCTGGTGGAAAGTCAGCTGCTGCTTCATCCCGAATTCTGGAATCCCCAGTTAAGGAGTTTTCCTGAGCCGAAGCAGATGAAATAGGCTGTTCGCTTTCTTGGCACGAATTGGTCAATCTATCACCTATATCTTTTTGAATCTCCTGCTGTGGCTTGGTTTTCTGCTCTAGTACTATGCCTGAACAGCTAGATTTCTTAATCTGCTTCATCCAGCACTTCAGAAATCTCAACTTTTTGGAGTTGTTACATCCCCTGGCAAAATAGACCTCTTCCAACTCGAACTCAAAATGTTCAAATGCTGCAGCACAGAAGCTACTCCATGTGTGGTCCTGAACTAGTTTTAAATTTCTTTTTCTCCTGGTATTTTTCTCATCCTTGTCCGAATGCTTACTGGGTTGTGAAGAGACATCTTTCACCTTTGTACTTACAAGCGCCACGTCTGCTCCATCTATCTCAGGCACTTTCTTGGACGGGTAGAATTCATCATTGTAGACCTCATCATTTGTAATGAATAACAAAGCTGAACAAACTGTAAGAGGCTTAAGGATTCCCAAAAGGGAATCTCTACTTTCATTTGAAAGAGACACCAATGCCCAATAACCTTCCCTGTAGAGGAAACTTGACAAAATCTGATAAATGGGTGCAGATTTGCTGGGCACAAAGTCAGCCCATTCTCTTGCTATCACTTCTAGAACCTTGTCCGCAAAAAAATCATCCGAACCTTCTTTCTTATCTTTCCTGGGTTTTTCAGAAACTTCACGGACAAGTATAGGATCGGATAGATGCCCCTTGAGTTTCTTAAAATCATTGTTCCTGTGCAAAGCCTTAACCTGGAGTTTGCTCACTCCACCACCAAAACTTCCCCACAACTTTTCTTTCAGTTCATTGCGTCCTTTATGTGTATTCATGATCTCTGGGATACAAAAAACACCATTATCGGACCTATTTACAGGCGAAAGTTTCAAATCAACCAGTTCAAGATCACAACATTTGCATTCCAAAGGTTTCTGAGCAACATCTAGTATCTCAAGACTCAACTGCACATGAAGCTTCTTAGAACAGTCATTACAACTTAAACCATTAGGCGAAATCCCAATCTTCGGATAAATCAAACCAAAAGGAACAAGAGCTGAGCCAAGAACTATGGAATCACTTGAGCAAAATCCCCATCCCAAATTCCTAATCCCACTCTCAAAAAACTCGGATCTCAGTTCTGATTCATCAATCTCAAATTTATCATAATCATCATCCACTCGAACATTAACCCAACTAAATTGAATATCCCTACTAACAAACGCGTCATTAACACTTGCAAAGAATCCACAAAATCTCTCGCAGAAACTACTCACATCTCCTAAGCAATCATCATCAATTCCCACATCCAAGAGCTCAGACAAATACTTTAAAGAAGCGGGAATCGGAGAAAACAGAACAACCAAATTAGACCTAACCAAAACAGAACCAGAATTCAAAAGCGTACCCGTCACAGGGCCCTGGATTACAGGGTCCCAGGCGTAGTCGTGCACCAGTTGCCGCATCGAAGCCACGAGGCACGAAGCCCTAGGAGAAGAAAGTGCAGATTCTTCATTGCAAGAAGAGGGGAGAGAACTTAGGGTTTGGGAGAGGGATTCGAAAGCGGCAATTGGGTGGTCGAAGGAGAGAGAAAGTGTGGAATTGGGGACGAAAGAGCGGAGCTTGGAGGAAGAGAGGAGAAGAGAGAGAGAGGAGAAGAAGAATTTGAAGGCGAAGAGAGAGGAAGAGAGAGGAGAGAAGGAGAGAAGGATTTTGGCAGAAGAGAGGATGGAAGTGAGAAAATGGTTTGGGTTTCTGAGATGAAGCAATGGGTTCAGATCGATTAGCAGAACTACGCGCTGGGTTTGGCTGTAGTCTGTGATTGGATCATTTTCCATTTTAGAGAGAGAAATAAGAGAGAGAGAGAGAGAGATAATAGAGAGAGAGAGAGAGAGATAATAGAGAGAGAGAGAGAAGAGAGAGAGAGAGAGAGAGAGAGAGAGAGAGAGAGAGGTATGGTGTTTGAAGGCGGAAGCAGAAGAAGAGAAGGAAGGGGAAAGGGAAGAGGTTGAAGGAGATCGGAACGACGACGTTTGGCAGACGGGAACTGGAAAAATTAGGGAAAACGGCGAGAGTGAAAGGGGATGAAATAAAATGAGCGGGAAAATAAAACGAAAGGTGTGTAGTCTGGACGGTCTTGAAACGGTGACGTTTCACGCTTCTGTAAAAAATGGGCGCCAAAACAAAGCATGTGGCGCTGGTAAAATATTTAATACCAAAACAAACTGACAAACCATGTCGTTAGACCTTAATCTATGGGCCAATTCACTTTTTCAAAAAAATGAAATAAAATAAAAAGTAAAATAAAGGGCTCTTTACTATTTCACTACCCCCTTTTTTTTTTTTTTTTTTTTTTTTTTTTTGCCATTTCAATGGTTGGTACAAAATTACAAATAGACCCTCAACTTTGAGTATGTAGACATTTTAATCCCTACACTTTTAATTTTAGCTTATTAGTCCCACAATTTTGATCTTTTAACAGTTTTGATCCCTGATATTATAATTGATTAATGATTTTTGAAATTTAACAAAGAATAAATTTGTATATTTAAAGATCAAAATAAACAATTGACTTAGAAAAAGTATAAAGCTAACAGTTTACGTGAATGAAAAAGTATGGTATTTTTGCAAAAAAATCAAAAAATTAGGGTCAAATTATAATTTTATAAACAAAAATAAAATTATGTATGTTAAAAATTACATTTAATGCCTTGACTTTTGAAAAATGCATTTTTACCTATCAATTTTTATAAAA